ACAGTAACCACCAAACATTCTTAGAGTTAATTATTTTTTTATTTTATTTTATGATGATATTGGGGAATTGGGGTTCATTGCTAAGTTATAACGTTACATTTTGAAGGCTCTTGAGTTTTAAAGGATATACCCACTGTTTCTGTTTGTTGACTCTGAGTTTTAAAGGCTCAACTCAGATTTCTCCCTGTACATTCCAAATGAAATGGCCGTCTTTTTTTTTTTTGCAAGAGAACTAAAATAACTTCACTGATTATTCCTGTATCTTATAGTTGAATGAGCAATTGTTGCTAGATGATGTGCCTGTTGCTTTGTAATGATGTCATGTTGATACTTCAAGAAGAATTAACTACTACAGATAAAACTAAACAAAAGATGTTAGGCCAAGACAAATGAAAAACTCAAATCATGTTCACAAACATCTAATGACCGCAAAATCATTGCAATTCATAATTCCATACCACAAATCCATCAAAAGATTATTGAAGAAAGGAAGAAGCTCAATGATCATTCATATAACTCTTCAAAGATATTGCAATTCATAATTCCAACAGATCGAATTAGTAAAAAGAAAACCCCAATTCCTCACGCAAAAGAAAGAATCTGTGGAATCAAGGCTAGTAAGCAAACATATTCTTCATAAGATAATTCAATAAGTCAATAATCAAACAAAAGTAATCCAATAAGAAATATAATAAAAAAAGAAATAAACTCAATAAAAGCCAATGGAATAATCATGATGCTAAAATAACGCTAAAAAATGGATTTAGCTTGAGGGCACCCTTGCAATGGCGGCAACGAAATTATACTGAAAAAATAAATACTAACATTAAAACAATTATACTGAAAAAATATAAAAAGAAAGATCTAGAGTTATTTTAAACATGGCGAAGCATCGGAACGAGGAGGGTTCGAACTCCATTGACCCGTCAGGATCGGTGAAGGAGATCACCGCCGACGATCTGAAGAAGAAGGATGCTAGGGTTCCTTCTTCTAGATCTAGGGTTTGGGCGAGCGATCTGATGGGGTTTCCGGTTCATCGGAACTATAACCAGGTTTCCGGCTCAGGCGGTGCAGAACAAGTCACTAGGGCTTGATGTGAAGAATGAGGTCGGTCATGACAATGACAAAAATAATGATAATGAGGGTGAGGTTGTAGGTGAGATTGAGAAAGAAGAGGGTGATTACAAAAATAAAAGAAAAAAATTACCGATGGTAGGGCCGAACTTCGGATCTGGTCGGGAAGAGGTAGAGCCTTGCGGATTTCTTTTTGTTTTGGGGTTGGGGGAAAAAGACGACATGAGTTAGGAGATAGATTTTAGGGTTTAGAAAATATTAACCCTAATTTGTTATTATAAAAAAAATTAGAAACCAATAGGGGCGGAAGTAGGTGTTTCTGTAGGGTAATAGGCACGGGTATTTTTTTGGGGAACAGAAGTGTGGCGCGGGTTTTTTTAGGGTTTACAAAACATTAGGGGCTAATATACACTAGTGGAAAATCATGTATCGCTGACGGGCATTCCCGTCAGCGATGCCCAAATTCCCGTCGGAAATGCATATCTTGACGGCGTCCCGTCAAGGATACGCCGTCAGCGATAGTCCCGTCAGGGAAGAACTATTGCTGACGGGGGCCCGTCAGTAATACGTATTACTGACGGAAAAAGTGGTGACGGCAAAGGCCGTCAGTAATAATAAAACATCGCTGACGGGATTCCCGTCAGCGATGTTTCTATATCGCTGATGGGGATCCCGCTGACGGGGGCCCGTCAGTAATACGTATTACTGACGGAAAAAGTGGTGACGGCAAAGGCCGTCAGTAATAATAAAACATCGCTGACGGGATTCCCGTCAGCGATGTTTCTATATCGCTGATGGGGATCCCATCAGTGACATATGTTACTGACAACAGAACGTCGTCGGTGAATACACGGACGCTGACGGGATCCCCGTCAGCGATACTTATCGCTGACGGGGACCCGTCAGCGATGTTTGCAGTATCGCTGACGGGCTTCCCGTCAGCGATACCTATCGCTGACGGGAAGCCCGTCAGCGATAAGTATCTGCAGCTAAAAAAAATCTTGTGATATATACTCAGTTCCCTGTACATGTATATATTCCCTGTACATACAAATCTCCAGTACATATATATATTCCCTGTACATAATCTCCAAACGACATTTCACACGCATTCCAAAACATCTCGCAATGAATACAATCCAAATTTTCCCAATTAAACCTCTCATCCAATAAATTTTCACAAACAATCAAAATATAGACATTCACTTTTTACGATAAGTTCCAAATCCACAATAATAATTTTCACAACAAACAATACACACATATCATAAGTTCTAAATCCACAATATACAAACACGAGTATCATAATCTCAACTATAAAGATGTCCACAATATACAAACACGAGTATCATAATCTCAACTATAAAGATGTCCACAATATACAAACACGAGTTTAGGATATAACTCACTAAGATAGGTCATCCGCCCTATCCATGTCATCGTCCGCGTTGCCACTGGCGGATCCATCCCTACGACTCGTGCTCCCAATAGTATCATCTCCAATCTAACAACAAAATAATTTAAATTTAGAATCACATAATATTGTGTGTAATCATGTTTTACATATATAATAAGTATACCTGTCTGCTACTCTCTCCACTACCAGTAAATGCCTTTTGAGTGGCCAAGAAGTTCATAATCTGGCTTTGCACCCGAGTAGGAACCCGCCTTCTACAAGATTTCATTATTTGCCTAGAAACCATCGCAAAAGTAGCAGTAGGCTGGATCACTCACATAAGCTCCTCTTGAATATCCTCCCACATCTCCTCGGGAATCTGACCATCTAACATACTCATCACAGAGGAAACAAGCTGCATCGCCTGCCATCAACAATCCTCCTGCGGCATGTAAGAGGGCCCCGATGGCATAGTCGAGGGTGTGGAAATCGGCGGAGGCTGGAATTGTGTAGACACCCTCTGAGCTCCAACTCCCATCCACCTGGTCCTCCCTTTTTTAGGAAGTCCACAAACTAAATGGCTCACATTATAATTCTGCTCTCTAGTCAGGGGCTCTTGGCTCTGTGCAACAACCTCAGAATACGTGTTTTCCAGAGCTTCCTAGAATTCCAAAAAATAAATTTAAGAATTAGCCTTTCAAAAATAAAAGATATTTACCTGAACAAGTAAAATAAAATTACATGTGAAGGGTGTTTTGTGCAACATAAAAGTACATGTGAAGAAGGGTGTTAAGTGCTAATAAATAGTTGAAGGGTGTTTTGGCTTGTAAGGTGATAGGAAAAGTTTTGTCATCAGCAATTCAAAGGTTTTCGAGAATAAAACCAAGTAGATCAATCATGTTACAGTATGTTATTTCTTATGCATTGATGAATGGGTCATGGTAACTCGGCTAATAAGATGACCAAAAGAAGAGTGCAAACAATAAATTCCCAACATGATAACAGGCTAATAAGAGCTAAGATAATTAGTTAACCTGCATTTTCTTCGCCAATTCTAGCTTTTGTTTCTTAGTCTCATCCTCATCGTACCCCTTCTTAAATTGAACCATCGTTCTCCTGTGCAGTTCTGGTAGTGGGATAAAGGGAGCGTTCTGAGATTTAAAACTCTTTTAGCATAACGTCACATGCGGAACGGACTTAAAACAATCCGCATGCTAGCCCGACTCAAACGGTAGTCGGTAAAGGCGCATCAAACCCGTTGATGGCTGAGGATTTGCCAAAAATCCTATAAATATGCGAGTCATTGACGCATCAACTTTATGAGTTGGTCTCGTGACTCGAGCATCCAACGACCTTGGGATAAGATCCATGCTCCAATTCCTTAAGAGCTTAAACCGTGTGTACTCCAGCAGACGTACGAGTATAAACTGTGTCAAATGCCGAACAGTGCATCATAATGAAGCCTGGACGCCGGACAACGCGTCGCAATGAAGCTCAAACGCCAGACAACGCGTTATAGATGAAGATTCAACGCAGTCAATCGATGATAAGTTCTGTGTTGAAGCAGCAAACTCGAGCCAAAAAGTCAAGAAATCAAGAATCGACTTCAAGTTCAAATTCCAACAACGGTCAGACAATAAATGCAGCACCGGAACCCCTACAGGCATTCTACAAAGCACTGAATAGCCTGAAGGAATTGAAGGAATCCAGAACAGAAGTCATTCCAGAGTCCCGTTACACCGACTGAAGGTTGGGACAATCACATCCAAAGTATTCCAGACTCTTCTATAAAAGAATGAGACTGAAATACTTTGGAGGGGGTATCTGTAGGCGTATAAAATTGCCTATAGGTCCCTTAGCACAGCTCGACGCCGATTTAACAAACGGACCACCGGGCGACGTATCCAAACAAGACCGTTAGCTCGCCAACGCTGAAGCCAAGCTATACGCAACGGAGCAGGTTAACGAGGCGACAAATCGCACCCAAGCATTGGAATGCATCCACTCGCACGCGGAATCAAACCAATGTTTAGGTGAATCACCGAGTCATCTAAACAAGAGCGAACTCGGATGAATCACGATCAAATCAACATCAATTCCGGACTCAAATTCAGAAGTTGGTTTACTGCCATATCAGGAACCCGACTCACTGCCATATCTGGAATCAAGTCAACAAGTCGTTGCCAAGTCAATCAACCACACAAGAGAACCAGAACCGGAAACAAAGGACGAAACGGACAAACACCCGGGGACTCGGCCGAAACCGAACCACCCCAGGGTGGCTCGGCCCAAGCCGAGCCACCCTGAGGTGGCTCGGTGGCCGAGCCACCCCAGGGTGGCTCGGCCAAGGCCGAGCCACCCTGAGGTGGCTCGGCCAAAGCCGAGCCACCCCAGGGTGGCTCGGCCAAGGCCGAGCCACCCTGAGGTGGCTCGGCCAAGGCCGAGCCACCCATGGGTGGCTAGGCTCAGAACTGTGCAAATGCACAGTTCTGAGTGCCTATAAATAGGCCTTGTGCTCATTTGTTTCAGAGGTTGGAAATTTTGGAGAGAGGCGAAGCCCTGCTGGATTGAAGACTCAGATCTAAAAAAGATCACAACTTTGAAGGCTTGGAGACTTGGACTTTCAGATCCGGTGCTCGGCGATCACCAACGCCAAATAAGGCAGGAGTTCGAGAGGATTGGATTTGAGATCTACACGATCACACTCCGGATCTAAGCTTGGTTCTTAGATCCCGAGATTCGAGCGGTTGTTTCCTTGGTGAAACAATCCCTCCCGGCTATTATTCCCTTGGTGGAATATTACCCGTCATATCGTGTAGATCCGACCGGATCGAGATCACGCGGTGGTCCACGGCAAATAACCCCGGCGCAGGCAAAGAACCCACCAAAGCGAGCGACCGCAAAACAGGAGCTCGCGATTAGTTCGACAAATAAGGAAAATTGTAATCTTTACTTTGTTTTCTTTGATTTTTCATTGTAACCGGATCTTATAAAAAGACCGGATCTTTGTAACGCATAAAGTTGTTAACTGAGATAGCAATGATATCAACAATGAAGAAAGCTACGATTTTTCCCGCGAACAATCTGGCGACCACAGTGGGAGCCAACAGCTTTACTGCCGAAGCTGTCGCGTCGCAGCCGCGGATCCCGATCCCGGTCGAGGAGGAGGTCGAGTACGAATTCGACCAACAAAAGTTCGAGGAGTATCTGTCATCCTCGTCCGAATCCACCTCCCCTCGCAAGTCCAAGTCTCCAAAGCTCTCTTCCAAGAGAAAACTTCGTTGGTACGAAGAAGTTGAAGCTGCCAACGAAGATCTCGCCCCGTTTGATGCCGAAGCTGCATCGGGTGAGATCTCTCCTTCCAACCAGGTCAGATCTGCTCTGGCCGAATCTTCCGTTGCCGAGGGCGTAGTGACTCTCTCAAAGAGAGCCCGCCAAAGGCAACGTCAGCGCCTTGCGAAACAAATCGCAAAGGCAATGGAATCTGTGGACGGGATCCGTTACAACACGGATCTGAAGAACAGAAGAGGCGAACGACCTCAACAACCAATGAATGGCAACTCCTCCAAGCCACCAACGAACGAATGGATCCGTGTCAAACGGAACCGTTCAACGCTGGAGGATCGCATTCAGAAGCGCCGCGCACTCTCAGCACAAGCACGAGCTCAAGTTCAAGAAGCCCGTAGAAGGTGGCAGAATGGAGTAGCCAAGAAATCACCACTAACTCACAAAATATGGAGGCCAAAGTCCAAAGTGGTGAGTCAGGCCGAGGATCGACCTTTACAGCCTTCAAAACGAGTTCAACCTCCCGAACCATCCCGAGGAAGGAGGTCAATCTTGGAGCGCCTCGGTCCAATTCCCGACGAGCGCAACGAAGTCCATGAACGCTCGGGCCCGATGAAGAGGCTCCGAACTAATCAACATGCTGGGGGTCGACACAACCCTCAACATGACAAAGAGTTTACGGCACCCAAGCGCACTACCTTGCGCATCGAAGTTCGGGAGCCCGCTGAGAATTCATGTCTACAAAGGCGTGTTTCGAGGCGAGTGACTCTCGGAAGTCCAAATAAGGCAGTTTGCTCTCAGAAGGAAACGTTGTCATCCGAGGATGATAACGTTATACCTGGGAAATCATGCCAACACGCGATAGGTTACTCCGATCAAATGGACGAGTTGTACTATCGTGCTGGGGGTACGAACAAAACAAGAAAAAGAAGCCCTCAAGGGCTCGAAACTCAGTGCCCATGTGCCAAGCTCATTCGGGTAGTACTGTCTCAATGCAACTGCATCAAGGGAGTCCCCGAGAGAATTTCAGTGTTCGAAAGGCTCGGCACCGAAACGCCAAAACCAAGGCATAGGCGCTTCCGGCAAAGAAGAACAGTGGTTAAGGATGGAGAATTTCCGAAGGTCACCGCCAACATGACCAGCAAAGAGACATCGACACAGATTGATCTCAAATCGTTTCTGGAAGCGTCCCGGCGTGTAACCCGTCTGCAGTCCGGAGCCATCGCACGAGGAACTTATGGTAGGGTTCGGATAAGATTGCCTTCGGAAGATGAAGAATCGGATTCCTGCTCTGCTGTCGCATCGGACAATACAGTGTCCAGCGAAGGACAACCCCGCGAGTCATTCATGATAGGCGCGGAAGAAATGGCCAAAATGCTTGAAGACGCTTTGGCTAAGCAGAAAGAAAGTTTTAAATTCGAGATGGAGACGGCCATGCAGCAGATGAGAGAGATGCATGAACAGCAAATCCAAGCATTCAGGAACCAACAAGGTGAACCAAGCCACCGTAACCAGGTTGCTCAGGAAAAGGAGCACGCGGATGGGGATGAAGCTCACAATGCCAATAACCCTCCCATCAATGCAGGGGGTGGTAGTGAGGATGCCAACGGGGATACAAGTGAAGACTTGAAGATCAAAAGCCTCGAGAGTAAAATCAATACGTTGCTGTCTGCTCAAGAGGTAAAGAAAACGGGCATTCCTTGTCCATACCCGAGGGAATGGGAATCAATCCCCTATCCGGCGAAGTTTAGTCTAATCAACTTCACGCCGTTCGATGGAAGGGGTTCCCCCACCCAGCATTTGATTTATTTCAAATCGCACCTGGGTGCTATCTCTGGGAACGAGCCTCTGATGGTGCGGTCATTCGTCGGCACTCTTCGCGGAGCTGCCTTCGATTGGTATCGTCGCCTCAAGCCAGGAAGCGTGAACAGCTGGGATGACATGGAGACGAAGTTCCTTGCAAATTTCTTCGACGACGACACCGAGATCTCTATCGGATCGTTGCTCGACGAGAAACAAAAAGACGGGGAGTTAGTCGACACCTTCGTCAAAAGGTTCCGGAACAAGGCGATGAATTGCCGGGACCCGATCACCGAGGAATTCATTCTCCAGACTTGCCACAACAACCTCGCATTGGACGTATTGGAGGCAATGGGGACAGCACCGTCTGACACTTGGAAGGATCTGAAGGTGCGCGGTGAACAAGCCGAACGCTTCCTTAAAAGGAAGAAGGCCGAAAGGAACCAACCGACGGTTAATCTGCTGGACTCAAACTTCGCTTCCCGTGGTAAGGGCAAAGCACCTGCAGCTGCTGGTGGTGCTAATCAAGCGTCACAACAGCAATCCCGAAGGCAGCAGAAGACTTCGGGTCCGAGACTCCAGAGAGAGTATTCCTTCAAGGACGAAGACGTTCCAACCATCTTCGAATCGCTCCTCGAAGGCAACAAGATCAAGCTACCACCTATCACGAATCAGGAGGAAGCTGATAACACTACGGACCCAAAGTACTGTGCATACCACAGAAGGGTTGTTCATCCCACCAAGGATTGCTTTGCTCTCAGGAATAGCATTCAGACCTTGGTCGAAGCCGGCGTTATAACGCTAAGGTAAGCCAAATAAAAACGGCAAAACTCCGACCGGTATAAGAGTATAAACTGCTTCCTGACACTCCAAAGAGTATACGAGTATAAACTGTTTCTCAATCCTCCGACCGGTATAAGAGGTTAAACTACTCCCTGATACTCCAATAGGTATATGAGTCTAAACTGTTTCCCCACTTTTGACGGGAAGTTCCTGGAGAATATTAAGCTAATATTCTTAAGGATAACCCGGTTAGTTAACTGATAATAATG